ACGTTCATCGGTAAATACTCGTTACATAGACGTGTAACGATTGCATTGCGAGTGCACCTGTCAAGTAGTCGTCTACGGCGAGCGCGTTGCGATTGTAAATGCGGAGCGTGTACGTTTTTTTTTGTTTTTTCGTTTCTTATATTTATTACGATACAATAATATTGGTGGTGTGCGTCGGAGGTGCGACCGGCCGCGAAACAAAAGTCACCCCGCGCGGAGCTGCAACAAAACCCGTTTCGATACACGTATCGTGTCGTATATTACTAATAAATATTTATGCATAGCACGCGTAAAGCATCGAGTAGGTACTTTGCGAGGCACTGGACTCGAGCGAAATAACGTTTTGCGGACGTACGCGAGTTCGTCGTTCAAATACACGCACATACACACACACACGCGCGCACAAACACGGAGAGAAAATAAAATATTAAGTACGAAAATAAATAATAAACAATCGGCGGAATGAACGCGTACGTCGTCTGGTGGTAGGTCTTTCGCGTGCGTCCGACGACCGGGACGACGACTCGTGCTCAGACTGCGGACACGGTCATAATGTCGACCACGTACGCGACACGCGTTTGTATATAAATGTATACGACGGTCGGCTGTCAAAAGACCGAAACCGTAATAAACCATTGTGTTTATAGGCGGCGGCGAGCGCGTGCGTCGGTCTCTGAACTTTTTTTTCAGACTTTGTTGGAAAATTACCATGGGGGGGGGTGGGCAGCGGTGAAACCATCACGTCCGTACTATGTGCGCTCCAGATCAACGCGGTGTCCGATAGAACGTGGTACACCGATAATGTTTAAGCGTGAAAATTCGTTTTCCACGGGACAAAATCGTTCGTTGTTATTGTTTTTTTTTTTTTTCCGAAGAGGAAAACATTACGAGTGATGTTGTAGTGTTTAGGTTTTTCTAAAAAGATTATCTAGCACGAGCTTACGGTGCGCAATATACCATCGAAAATAAATGATCATTTCGTAGATCCACGGACTCGATCGCGGTTTAGCATGGTTACGCTCAGGGCAAACTTTAGTGCATCACGTCCGCTCATAAGTTTTTTTGGGCACCGAAAATACGCGAGCCGGATTCGTGCTATGACTGTAATGTAGTATTCATAGTTTAAGACGAGTTCTAGCATTAGAAATATTCCGATCACTGCACATCTCATAGGTGTTCGCCGGAAGACCCGTGTTCCAGGGACGTTTTCAACCGTCGGGGGTCGGTATGCGACGAGATGATGTCAATACAATACTTATTGTTGTGCGCGTGTAACGCTATTGTTGCCGACTGATTGGATGTCGCGATCTTGTCGTGTTTGTGCGTATCGTGATAATAACAGTCCGACGTCGGAATAATAAATATTCGCAACAGATATTACCCGGTAAAACGTTACGACGCGACGCGACACTGCAACGCGCGTGTTGCGTGGGGGGTACGGGTGGGCCTACCGTTGTGACCATGTCAGACTCGACCGTGATTCGGGTGGACGTTGTTCCATTATTTCTTCTCTCTGTCTCTCTGTCTCTCTCACCCCTCGTCTTCGCACATAATTAACTCCATTATGTACGTGGGTACGGGGCGAAGGGAGACGGGTGCATTGTTTGGACAACGTTTTCGACGTCTCCGCGCGCGCAGTGCCCACAACGCGGACGGTGTGTGACACGTCCCGTAGCCGTCAGATGATAATAATAACAATAATAATACCACCTAATACCCGCGGCGTGGTGGTTTTCAATGCGCTTATTATTACTATCGTCGGTGTTGTGCGCGAGCGCATGCGATGTGCAATGTAACGCGACGACGTTAACCTAATGGCTACGTTGTGCCCCGAGTGCGATCGGATGACAGTGTACGAATATCTCAAACATGTCCGTTTACTATATCGAATTCAACCGCTGTAGGTCTATGTGCTACGTCGATGAGATGAAAACATCGTAAAAGAACGACCGACGGCGCAAACGCGGTACGTCGTCGGTTTTCGGTGAATCGACCCGAAACGTGTTTTTTTTTTTTTTATGAACGGATTTATAGCCAAATTATGTCACACGAAATATACATAATTAATGACGTACTCTCGGACTTTAAAAAGATAATAGTATGGTAATATTTTAACGTAAAAGTCATATACAATATAACATAATTAATAATTCATTGTGAAACTTATTTTTTTAAATATATTGGTAAAAATAGTGTAATAAAAACTCATAATATATATAACAAATAATAAATGGAATTAAATAAAATTAATAAATTTTAAATTTACCTATTGGCCTGATATTTAATACCTAGGCATTCGATGTATATTGTAAATGGCCAATATCACCTCTACTTTTATGTATCTCAAGTTTCTTGTACAGACTTTCTTTATTCTGTGATTTCCTTTCGTCGAACGTTAGATACATCGGATAGTTAAATATTGATGAGAAGGAAGAAACACTGAATATCAAGTAGTAGTAGGTAAATTGTATACATACATTTTCGGATGGTGAAATTGATAACAGTTCAGTAAGTCCATTTCCTGCATTAAATCTCCTTCGTGTACTTTGTCTGGCGGAAAGAATGATTGTCAAAAACAATATTTGAGTCGTCATTTGAGCATCATAGTCACTAGGTTTTTACGCTGGTAAAAATCATTTCACTCAACCAAATCACTATCGCCTAAACTTAACAATAATTTTTTAATCCAAATCATAACCTCCAACCACATCGTATAAAACGCGTAAACTACACGGGTGGATTGACATGTCGGGAAATCGGCAAATTTCTCGTCGGACCGCGATCTTCGTGCGGCGAGCTACTTTATTCATACGTTTAACTTCTTTTTGCGTTTATCAATTAAAATGTTATTTTGAATCGATTCGATTTATATTTTCCGGACGCGAAAAATGTTACCGATTCGCCCCTGCGGTGCACAAACACACACACACACACACACACACACACACACACACAGTTATGTACATGTGCGCGTTATTATTCGTGTGTACACGCGAAACGGATGTATATAGGTACGATTGCCGTCCCGCTGTCAGGGCCCGGTACGGTACGTGTATACGCCGCAGATACCTGTGCAGGGCACATACAGCGGATAGGTTAGGTCAGTCGCAACGTGTGTGTACATTATGAAATTATATTATTATCGTACGGTTTACATATTGTACGTGTCACACGTGTGCGTGCGCGTGTGTGTTACGCGACAGAGCGAAAAGGACGTCTTGCGCTCTTCGTCGTGACCGTATATTGATATAACGTATAGATGTACAATAATAATGTACTACGCGATCGTCGCACGACGTACATAACAATATTGTAGACGATTCCGACACGTATGTGGATTTCGCTGATTTATTCTCGCACGCCCCGGCGTGTGTACATCTACGCGGGACGGATCTCGGTATTGTATTACGCCGTTTTCGTACAAATCTTAGCATGGCGCTGTTGACCTCCGAACGATAAATTTCACGACTGACGGACGCGTACGTATTTCTCGAGCGATTTCCCTAGCCCGTGATCGTTGTGTAGGTCCTGCCGATCATTTCAACGTAAGCAGACGCAGGAAATAATGAAATAATCGTGAAACTTGAAACTACGCAAATTGTACTCTAGTGTTCGCATCGCACGACCACACCGCAGAAGACTTCGTTGTTATTCGGTATCCTCTCTCTTTTGCGGTCAACTTCGCCCGATTAGACCGTACCAGCAAAGTTGCCATAAAACATAAGTTTTGCAAAATTAATTACCGTTCGACCTACTAAGTAATTACTGATCAAAGGGATTGACGGACGCTTACAGTTTTTCCCCTGATATATATGTCAGGGTACCAATATCTAAAGCGATGCAATCGGGCAGTTTAGTGTCCTCTACAATTTGATACCGTTGAAAGTACTACTGCTGTTGCTGGTATTGCTACCACGATTTAAAATGTTTCATATTAAGTACTGCTATTGAAGTAACGCCACCCCACACAACAGTTTCATATAACTGCTATAGCAAGTACTGTCCGTCATTGTGTGACGGATTTTTGCAGTAGATTTTGATATGCATATTGTTGAAGAGATTATACATTTTAACTGTGTACATCATGGATTTGTAAAATATTTTCCGCATTGTATGTAAACATGGTAGGTAAATATTTTCTATGTTTCATACAATAAACCAGATTATAAGAACGTTGGCTTGCAAGTTAATGAAACTATTAAGTTTTAGATACGATATTTTTATTTTTTATTCTTCATCGAAAAGGAAATATTTCAAGGAAATAAATTTCACGAAATCTTAAAACCCTACGCACGCTGTTCACGTGTACACTACAACGATATTGGATGGTTTGGTAGGTAGGGGGGGGGGGGGGGGGGGTGGCGGACGATAAATTATCGAAGATTTGCACACGCGCCAAGACTCGTTTTACGAATGGTTTACGGAAAGTCGCGTCCTAACCTTCGGTCGTTAACGCGAAAACCGTTTTTCGATGTTCGGTGTACGCAACACGCACGCAGGTCACCCTACACACTCGTGTGCGGAACGCGATACCACGCGAACCGCTACGGACACCCGACCGCAATAAACACGTAGTTTTACGATTCCTAAATATATTTTGTCGTCTTGTTAATAAACCGTTCCAAAACGCGCAATTATTACGATCGTAAAATCCGTCGTGGTTTTATAATTCTCTTTTTTTTTTTTTATACGTATAAATTTATTGTTTTTTTTTTTTTTTTTTTTGTCGCTTTCCGACGCATAAACAAAGCCGAAGAATCGGCGGTCGACACTTCCACCGCGTATTGCGAAGATCGAGAATTTTTTTTCTTCTCATTTTTTTTTTTTTTACGAGCGACGAACGCGCACGCGCGCGCGGTACCCTCTCTCGCTTTCCGTCCCGCCCACCGCCGGTCGTTTAGCACAAATCAATCCGACAAACGCACGCGCTCCCATTACCGGTGATATTTATTTATTATCATTATTATCGTTGTTGTTGTTATTATTATTATTTTACTCCCGACCACAAGTCAAACACGGTCGAATCGCGCTCGTAACGTGCGCGATTTGTGGCCATCGTAAATCGACGGGGCAACACCCGACAACGCACAGCCCAGTGCCTGTACACATTGTTACGTGTAAGTAATTTATTATGGTGTATAATATAATATTATCGTATTATTATAAAGACCGTATATGCGTCGTATACTTTGTGCGCGTGCGCGTGTGCATGAAAATGTCGCGTATTTTCAATGGCATAAAACGTACGTGATATGCAAAGTGTTTTTTTTAAGACTGTCTTTCGTGCGTTTTCTATGCTGCTATGTATCATTAACCAGTACCAATAGCAATAAATGCACGTCACGAAAATCACGAGACGCGTAATAAAAACAGAATATACTCATTTCGCGCTGGGAAATAGATTAGAATAACATTTTAGAACATAAGGAAACAACTGTACAACAATCATATTACCAATACTGTCATTTATCGTGTAAGCAATAAATAATATGTTTAATTGTGCATTTATAAGACAGAAGGTGCGTGAAAGGTCTCCTGTGGTGGCCATATGACTCGACCGCTACAGGAAACTAATGAAAATAATATATTCCAAACAAATGCGTTAATTCAAGTTGTGTGTTTGTATCTGCACGTACGATACGAGAATGCTTACGTTATTACTAAGTTTTTCCAATTCTGATTAATGAAAACGTGATATCCAGTAGGATACATACATTTTGTATCTTATACCTACTGTACCTATCTTGTATTAATATTGAATTTTGTTTTTCAAATAGAAGCATCCATTTTTCACCCAAATTATTATTCAAGAAATTATAGTCCAATACAGTCAACATTTGACTGTAGTACTTTTAGAATTATTCGAATTTAAATTAGTATATGAACATTATTAAAGAATTATTTTATTTATCCTTTTGTATAATTAGCGTATTATGATAACTGATAACGGTTGTCTGATAAATATTTTTTTTAGACCCCACTTATTTCCAAACAGTAGCGAATAGCAATTAAAATTAAATGACAAATTACATCATATTATCATAAACTGATAATATTTTTTTTTTCTATGGATTATGAAAAATTATACCAAGTTCTACATAAATAAATTTGAATTACTTCCAAAAAACACTGGACCGAATTTCGACTACGTCGCATTAAGAATTCCAGGATAGTTACCTAACTGAATAATTATTTGCGTAAGAGTTGGTGTTCTCATTCGAAAAACAAAAGTTGATACTACGACAGGATGACTCGAGAAGTTAAGAAAAAAACCAAATGTAATATATTATTACAGTAAGTACACATTCGTTATTTACACATTTCCCGTATAAATCAGGATTCGAAAAAAAAGAGAATTAAAAATTGGTATGAATGTTTAAAAAATCACTTAGTACATATGTAATACATATTGTATATGTGTTTGTGGGTAACGCATATTGTTTGCTGTCTCTGTAAAAAAGTGAGCGACGAGTACATTTTTCAGCCAAACAAATTGGTAATCTAACCATGGTCAGGTAACTGGCTACGAAATACGATAATATTAATATTGATCAACGGAGATGCGGTTTGACGCCGGCAGCGGCGTCGTTCCCTAAAGTGAAATAAAATTGGAAGTTTTATAGTTTTTTACTTGTTTATATATATAATATATAATCAGCTAATAGCGTTAAAAAAACGACGACCGAGTACCTATATATTATAATATGTACGACGCGAGCATAATTCGATTATTATTACGAGTTTTAATGCGGTGCACGTGAGTAAGTGCAGTACACGAGATCGATATTTCAGACGCAGTTGTACGATTGTCTCGCTGACGGACGAACTAACTTCGAATTAACAAACTTGAAGGGGAAAAAAAATAAAGGCTAGTTTAATAATATTGTGCACTCAACTATTCAATCGTGTTAATGATACGTATTATGTTGCATTTATTTCGAAGTGATAGTACTTGGATTAAATACTAAATGACGGTAGAGCAACTTCCACAGGTGCGTTTCCGATAGCCGATGGAATCAAAAATGATACAAATAATACAATATTATGTCGATTGGTTTAATCATATAAAATATATTGGAAACAACGTGTACATGACCGTATGGTACCTCGTTATACATGGCACATAAACGTCTTACGCGCGATTTGATTTAAAAATTCTCTAAAATACCGCTAAACATGTCCATTCGTTTGCATAATAAATATGTTATTTTTATATTTAGTCGTAAAAACGTCCGAACAAAGTATTGCGTTATTATGATTTTACAACATAAAATAACAATAATATTGTATTATTTCTTTGCGGCCATGTCAACAATAAGTTTTTTTTAAATAAATTTTAATGTTCGCTTATACGTTTAAAGCAATAACATTATATAATGTTTATTTCACAGAAAAAATAAACCGGTAAAAATATATGTACAGGATAATAGGTGCGTATATCGTGCTGTTTTCCTCTGACATTTCTTGCAACTAAATCGATGGCATTACGTTAAAAGTTCACTATTCACACGTGTGTGAACTTAGCCCCCAACTATAAAAAATACTTTCCAAAATAATTGTAACCTTATTTTCTTAATTTGTAAATATTTGTAACAAAATTTTTAGAATTTTTCAACCCCGGATTCCTTTCCAAGAGGGGCAACTCTTAAGCCCCCCCCCCCCCCCCCCAATTCAACGAAATCCTCTAAAACAAGTTGTGACTTATAAAACTCAATTGCTGACTATTTGTAACCAAATTTTTAGAACAACTTTGTAACCTCATCAATTTTGAATCCCGATGGATTTCCCTAAGAAGATATCTTTATAAAAAAGTTAAAATTGTAATTTATAATATTACGCAATTAAATTAATTCACCTAGAACATATCGTAAGTTGAAGAAAAAAAATCTATATTTTATAAAAACAATTATAATATGATACCAATTCGATTTATAATACTGCGTCTGTTATTTTTTTACTATGTAATTTATATTTTTATTATTTTTTTAAAAATTGTATGTCATTATGTGGCGCTTGAATAGCATTAATCACATAGACGTAATTATTTTTTATGAATGTTTAAAATTAAAATTAAAATACCTTGAACACACTAGTTTTAGTCATTACACTCGAGTAATTCGAGATTTTCTATATTAAAAACTAGATTCTTACAACTATAAAATTTTACACATTTCGTGAGTACCCGTAATGTTACCTAATCAATTTTTTTTCCAATCAGTATTTATTAATTTTAATTTATAATGTGATTTCACTTTATCGAGAAAAATTAAAAAGTTAATCACATCAATTTAATTTATAATATAAATTCTATTGGATGCATATAAATTTGAATATTATTAGTATAATTTTGGCAATACGAAAAAAAATAGCTGGTTTCAAACAAAAAAAATTAGAATACCTTTCAATATTTGGACATTATCTATTATAACTGTTGCTTAGAGATTAATAAAGGCGAACTTTAAATCATTACATTTTGTGACTTGAGTATTTATTTGCACTTTTACGATTTCGATTAAAATTTTGCAAAATGAAAATTTTCAGAAGATTAGCTCGATCCATCAACACAAAAGTACGTGCCGTCGTCAAAAGGGTGCGAGCGGTACGATTACGAAAAAAAACCCGTATGGACGTTCATCAACCGGCTTTAAATGACCTAGTCGAACACAGTGAAGATAATCCCAGTTCAACTGAACTACGCATTGCCGTTGAGGCGGAAGAACCATCAAGAGTCGATTGTCCGACGACCTCTGAACACAATCGTTATCTACCAACATCCGAACAATCGGAAAAACGCGGAGAATTTTATCAACCAGACTTAGTCAAACGTGGCGAAGAAAGTCTCAATTCATTCGAAGCATCCGTTGGCGTCGAGACTACAGAATCGAGAACCGATCAGATATTCACCGAAAACAAACGTTATCTACCGACATCCGAACAAGCGAGAGAAAACGAAGATTTTTGTGACATTTACAGATGTGAAAGTGACCCATCAGTGTCCAGCGGAACATCAGCAATGACCATACCTTCGCGCCAATACTCGTACGGGAACCATTTCTATCCAACGGCTTCGGAATCGTCTGTCGAATTCGACGAATGGAGTAACGCGTCGTCAACGGCACCATCGTCAATCGCCGATGAAAATCAGGAATCGAGAGATTACCGTTCGGCGTCAGAAATATCTGAAGTAAACGAAAGTGACAACGGTGATGATGCTAGTGTGTCCAGTGAATCGTCGGGTATGACTATACCTTTGCGGCGTTCGGAAATGTTCGACCCGGAAAACAAGCGTTTCCATCCAGCGTATTCTGGCCGCAAGTACCTTACGAGTGGCGGACAAGAAACGGTCGCAAGAGCCGAATATTCGTACAGCAAACGATACTATCGAACGGCTTCGGAAACGTCCGTTGAACACGATGAAAGACGAAACGGTTCGGAGTACTGTGCAGGTGAACGTACCCAAACGCCTGATCCGTCCACCGAATAACCGGATCGACTTTGAAAGACTTGAGGATCGTTCGGATAAGTTTGATTACAATTATTGAACAGTTCCTGTATAATAACCCCCTAACTTTATTTTAATTCAATTTTTTTTAACATTATTATTTCGATAATATCTTAATACTCGATATGTGTGGGTCACGTTATATTCTACATTCATATATTGCAATTTAAATTTGATAACAACATTTTCCTTTACTATTTTATGAAAAATTTTATAGGATTTTTATTTCTCAAAGTATGCTATGATGTATATTAAAATGGAAAAACATCATTCGGCTAAACCTGAAAAAAAGCCGTTTAGCTGTTCATAGTTTTTTTTTTTTTTTTTTTAACTTGAATATTGAATATCGAGATAGTAGCAAATGCTTATGTGAAATAAAGCATATTTCAAACATCTTGGTAAATGGATAGACAGGGTTAATAATGATTTAAATACGTGTGTAGTTTGTCCCCCCCCCCCACTATAAAAATACTTTCCAAAATAATTGTAACTTTATTTTTTTAATTCGTAACTATTTGTAATCAAGTTTTTAAAATTTGTAACCTCATCAATTTTGAATCCCGATGGATTTCCCTAAATAGATATCTTTATAATAAAGTTAAGATTGTAATTTATAATATCACCCAATTAAATTAATTCGCCTAGAACATATCGTAAGTTGAAGAAAAGAAATCTATATTTAATAAAAAAAAAAATCTAGATTGAATAAATATGTCTTAATTAACTAGAATTTTACTTTTATTTTTATTCGATTAGGCTAAAATCTTAAATAAAATATGTTTTATAACATATTCAATTTATGAACATATGTAATAAATTGTTAGCACTCATAACTTATTATAAGATAACTAACCCTCATTGAGAAATTTACGATTACACGGAAGGGCCGAAGCTACAAATTCTAAAAACTTGGTTGCAAATAGTTACAAATTAAGAAAATAAGGTTACAATTATTTTGGAAAGTATTTTTTATAGTTGGGGGGCTAACTTCACACACGTACTATTCACATCAAATACATTTTTCAATTCGTGCATTCACGAGACTAACTAAACTTATTGAATCTGCACATTCGATAATAATTACGAATTTTAAATATATAATAACTAGAATTATATAGATCTATTTTTCAAGTATTAAACCGAATTCACTTTTTTTTTTTAATATTAGTCGTTTGTGTGCGATTCAATGATTAAATTATCAAACTTTTTTTTTTGTGCAGTTTTTTCTGTAAAGGTCGAGTATTTTTTTTTACAAATAAATAAAATAAGCCTAGTCCGGCATACTTTGTATCACAAATATATGCTCAAGTAGATAATAAAGGAGAATATTTTGTAACAGGCATTTGAAGTTCTTAATATTTCGCAGTACTATAATCCGAATAACTTTTTTGTTAATTTTTTTCATACTTTACGGCCAAAGCGCCCGTGGACGGCAGAAGGATACGTGAACGAATGTCGGGAACTATATTGTTGATTTTTGTTGGTAGTGTAGGCTTGGACAGGATGTGCGGAAAAAAAGGAACTCGACGCCGACATATAGTGATTTCAAGTACACCAATGGCTGCAATGTTATTTTTATTCGTTCGTGTCATGCATAATATAATAATATCTTCGTTGGAGTGCTCCGTAATGTACAGTATTATAATAATCGAACACACATTCGGCCGATTATAATGATTATCATAACGATTATAGGTATAATGACGCGATTAACTTTATTTCACGCACGTAGTATTGAATTCGTAAAAACAAAAAATAAAAATCAATATTCGATCGAAAAGTTTACAAAACAACATCGGGTAATCGTTTCTTTTCTTAATTTATGAGGTTATATGAGTTATTTTTTTTGTTCGGTTCAATCCATCTAATTGTTCAGTCTTAGCAATTTTAATAGTACTAATAATTACGTATTAACGAAATGATTAAAAAAATAGTTAACGACATATTCGCTTACGTGACTACGCTGCTGGTTTATCGGTGTGGACCATGTGCCCAATAATACTAATAATTTGAATCTATTATTGTATAGAAATTGTTTGTATTTTTCGACATTTTAAGAAAACTGGTCAGTTGACGTTTAGCCTTTCGCTTTGGGCTTCTTTTGTTTTATTCAATATTAATTTACCTAATGTTTTTTTGAGTGATATAATCAGTTTATTGGTTGTACTCCGTACTTAATTCTGACATCGGTCAAATGAATTAGATTTACGCAGCTTGTATGACGATCAACCAATCTTGTATGATCATCAAAGTTAAAAAATACGACACCTTGATCTCAATAGATATTGTCGAACAATTTAAAACGGGTGTTGATAAAAAAATCAATTAAAAGAAATCAAGAACCCTCAAGTCATTCAAAAGGAAGAAGCGCAAATATTTAACTTCTGAAATTGGTAATAATTGTATGACATGTGTTTAAATCAATGTGGATATTGAACAATACAACTTCGATCACCTAAATTCGAAAACACTTTAAATGTAAGTAAAAAATCTTAACTAATAAGAATATAAATAGAATGACTATTATAATTTTAACTAAAATGACTATTAGTGATTAAGGTACTTAATTATTTAAATGGAAATAACTGTCCAAAAATTATCGGTGAACTATTTTCAAACTTATCCGCTACGTTATAATCAGTTTTTCTACTAACTCTAATAATAACGATGTAAATTGATTATATTGTACCTAAATTATTTCATACTTGAATTTTTTTTCCACGAGTTCTTTCTTGCGATTTAAGACCAGTTAACATTTTTTTCTAATTTGAATCGCGTTTCCAACAGTGCAGAATTTGGTCATATTGGTCTCGGTCGGACGCACATATTAATTTTATTGTAAATTGTAAATTTTCTATCAAATTGGCATTTGGTCGGAAACAGGTTTTTAGTAATTGATGTATTCATTTCAGCGATAAATAGACACAACAAACATTTCTACTACATAAAATGTTTTCTTCTAACAAATATAACAAACTTATATAATAAAAGTAGGATTATCATGGTTTATTGTCTAATCAATGAAAAATTAAATAACTACAATAGTACTTTAATGTTTAGGGAAAAATTAAAAGTGTGTATTGTTATCTTAAATTTACTTAGTTTTATTTAATTTGTATCGTTGAACAATTATAATAGTTGGTGTCTATTTTAAACAGTCTCATCTTATTACATACATCATTTTAATAAGATACGAGTATGATCTGAACACCGTACGTTTCACTATGTTATGCATTGTTTTGACGTAATATGTTATGTAAAGGTAATTCAGTATTTGGAGCTAAATCAAAGGGGCGGGTGATTTAAAAATATCACGGGCACAAATACTTTATTATTCTATTAGCTATAGGCTTTAACCGTGATTAAGACATCATCGATAAAAAATTCCAACGAAGGGCGATCCACCCATTGTCTTCTCCCTCATCTACGCCATTGAGGTAACGTACACCTTTAAGGAACAAAATCGTAATCATTTAATAAAAAAGAAGTGAATCAAATAAAAGCCGAAGATATTTTAGAAATCCGTATGATGTTCAACCAATGTTAATCACGACTTAACTTACTTAATATATGTATATCGAGTTGGGTAAATTTCAACGGAACATTTTTGAGCGTGCCGTTGCACACATCTGCATAAATAATAACAGTTATTATTCACGATCGATGGGAATTCAATTTTTTCAAACATGAATTGTCTGTTATAAGTATTATGTAGTTGACCGATAAACCTATTTGTTTTCAACAATCGTACGAAAATACTGAAATTCAGTTTGAACCTGAAGTCGAAGCAATATAATGTTTACGTTGTCGGGTATTATGAAAGGGTTTTAAACAAATCCACCAACCGGATACTCAGGATAAGAAAAATAATAATAATAATGAAAGACAGAGAAGCGTGCTGTTGTGCGTCCAGGTTGCCGCCGCGAGACTGAATGATCTCGAGACTCCATAAATCACCGTTGAAAATTCCGACATACCACGTTTAATTGATATTGACCGTTCATTGTTATTGTAATACCCCGAATGGTGGCCGCGTATGGATTTTCATTTTTTTTTTTTTTTTATAAATTAAGCGTCATTTGTTGCGCGTCAAAACGGTCGTAAATCCTTCACTCGGGGGAAAAAGAAAACCCGAGACGCCCACGCGCGCATCACCGGCTAATTGGACAGCCATAGACGACCACAGCCCCACGTTACTACTACTACCAATACTAATACTACTACCACTAATACTACCACTACTACTAAACATACGTACGTCGTACAAAAGGCAACTAGACAAGCCCTTTCGGCCGTAAATCACTCCCCCGAGACAACATCACACGAGTTAAACGCACCCGCGAATTTGATTCGAATTACCGAACGTAATAACGTAATGTGTGCATGTTAAACCGCGGTGGGAACGAAAACCGTGCGGCGGTATGGTATCCGAAATAATTATATGTAACTGTACACGTCAGCTATTGTATTTGTAATAATAACGATAATCAAGCGGCAAATAAACGTAATTTTTCTTTTTCTTTTCGTTCGTTGTTTTATCCTGAACATTTGGTACGTTAACGTTTGTTTAACAATTGTTCGTACACTGAAAGTAATAGGTACGAAATATACCTAATAAAATAAGTTGTGTTGTACCCTCTCAAACTCAAACGACTTCTATCGTTCTATCGCCCGCAACTGACCATTTTATTTAAACTGTTTTACTTGTGAAGGTTTTTTCAAATGCAGTTCAAACGCAGAACGTGATCTCAAATCTAGACGTGCGGCTGGCTAAAGAGTATTTTATAATCTTTTTTTCTAAAATCATTCAATTATCTGTTTATTTATATACAAATTAAAATATATTTTGATATATTGAGATTAATAAACTCAAAAACTACTGAACCGAATTTTGGGCGGTGCACGTTTGTAAACATTTATCAACATTATAACATAATTGCGCACAAATTAAACACGTACATTTTCCTTCTCGTTCGTACACAGACTTAGGGCTGTCAGTGATTATATTAACTCTACAGGTAAGGTAAAAAATGTAATTTTGGTGCGTTTTGTGTTTAAAAACGAAATATATGATTATTCAAAATAATCCTAACTAATTATTATGAAATATATGGTTTACTTTCGCGTC